TTTCCCCCTCGTTACGGCGACCTGTCCATTTATGATCTTCAATAGGAGGACAAGTCTACTGATTGATCGTCTCTGCTGGAGCGAGGGCCAACCAAGCTGCTCAATCATTTACGAAACACTGTCAATGCAATTTGGTTTGTAAGCTCTTTAAGTACCAACAGCCTGAGCTTATCGGGACCAGCAGCCTTATAAGGTTGTAGATATTTTAAAAAGTTTGACAATGCCCTCTGTGGTGATGGCTATATCAGGCATGCTAGGGTATGGACTGCATGAGTCGCGAGGAAATAAGGCACTATATGCATTGTTTGTAAAGGCAGAGAAGAATGTTTCCTCTGGACCAGATGCTTAAARCCTTTTGGTTTACATATGGGAGCCGGTTTCTGCTCGAGACTTTAGATGGAATAAATTTCTTGATACCCTCTTGCAGTTTCTCCAGAAACAGGGACCACAGCTGATCGGTGGAAAGCGTTTTGTTGCCATCGTACTTGCTCAAGAACATAGCCTGAAATAGTAACATGTAAGCTCGAAAASCGTCCCAATTTGCCTTTTTATACAGGTAGATGTGCCTTGGTCTCTGAAGAAGTGCGGTAGGTCTTAGGTCTTAGTTTTAGTCTTTCTCAAATCTGTTTGGAAAATGACAAACAAAATCTGCTTCACTGTGGCTTGTTATGCTCACACACAGCTTGACGATATCAGAAACCTCTATTGCCATGATCTCTGCTGCTGCTTTGTTGACCGGTATTATGTGAGGAACTGTAGCCCCAGTAACATCATCCTGTGCCAGCTGAATTCCAGATTGTTGAAGACGACTTACAATGGCTAGATAATGTGGAATTTTACATATACAAGCCTCTTCACAAAACACTGGGTTTGGGCACCGTTGATAGACTTTAGTGTAGCACTTAACATTACCATAGTTATATTCTTCTCTTGCCTGGAATTGTACTGTATGTGAATTACGTCTAGTTACTCTTTTATAGTCAGTACATTGTATAATGTCTCCTCTCAACTCAAGTCTCTGAAATTTGAAACACTTTGAAATACTTCCTCCTAGCACCTTTTCTATGGCTGCTGTTTCACTTCCAGTAGTCTCAAAGTTTTTCAATTTGCCGATACTGTAAATTCCAGCTGAAATGAAACATTTGTTTTTATGGCAGGCCTTCCTTGCAGTAAGATGTTCATAGAATTCTGAAGCACTTGAACCATAAGCAAGGGCCTTTTCCATTTCTGGAATTTTTTGCTGTATGCATACTGCCAGTGTCACTTGCATGTCAACTTTTTGTGTTCCATGAAATAAGTTTCTTAGCTGGCCATTGAAATCTTCAAAGTAAAAACATGAGTTGGACCATAGAGGTCCAAGGTCCTTTACTTTSTGTGTCATATGCAGAAGCAGATGAACATTTGATGTTTGATATCTTTCTCCATATAAGGCCCCTAAATTTATACAAAAGTGCTTGAGCAGTCTATTCGCCTTATTCAAGTCTGCTAGTGAGATGGAATCCTGGAGTAAGAGGTATGTTGCTTCCACAAGAAGCAGAAAATGTTGAAAATAATCATCTGGAAGAATGTTCCACATGCAGACAGCACCATAAAATAGTAAAAAGGCTTTAAATTCAGTAGCTTTGAAATGGGACAGTTCTGACAAACTTCTAGGAGCCCTTGTGATGCAATGGGGGGG